GCAGAAAGCAAGGAGCAAAAAGCAAGAAGAACAAAAAAATATCCCAAAAAGAAACAAAGAAACGTCCCAAAAAAAAATAGGCACCCGTTTTCCAGAGGGCTTCCAGCGATAGAGCGCCCAGCAGGTCTGTTAACATCGCTTATACGAGTACAGTGAGTACAGATCCAGATGAAGAAGCCTTGCCTCTGCCTGCGGCTCTGGCAGCTCCGTGGGTTGCTGCGTTTGCTGCGCAGCTTGCTCCGCAGAATCCGCCGAAGGCCCTTCCGGCTCTGCAAGCGGCTCTGCGGGCGGCTCTGCCGGTGGCTCAGCCGCCTGGGCTGCTGTCGCCTGCAGGCCGAAGTACAGTTTGTGAGGGAGGTCGAAGCAGATCACACAATGGCAGTCAAGCTAGCAGCCTAGGAGGCTTTTCCCTGCTCTTCATAAGGCATTCTGAATTAGCTTCAAGTTCCGCAGCGTGCTCCAGGCAGGCAAGACTTCCATAAAATGCCAGACATGAAGGTCAAGCGAAATTGCAGCACGCGCTTTTCCCCTTCACATGGCGAATCTCCCCTCCAACTGTTGTCCTCGCGGACTGGTAGGGCAGAGCCCTGGAGGCATGAAGCCCCCATCCCATCCCGAATTCCCCGGAATTCATGTTCTTACAGCTTCAGCTGCGTTCATCAAACTAGTCGCCCATGGCTGCCCATGGCTCTTGACTCTCAACTTTAAGATGAGACACGGATGACCGCAGGAAGTTGTACAGGTTAGAAGCCTCAGTGCTGGCGCTGACTTCTCGAGAAGACTGCGCACGCACCGTACGCGAGCTGCCAGGCTTACATTTCACACCAGCAGCCTCTTTCAAAAAACAAGAAAAAACAAGCATCAGACTTTCCTCTGAGCTGGACTTGGGTTACGCAGCAACATGCTCATTTGGCTGCTCTTGGTTGGAGTGAGTTCACATGGCCGTCCATGAGAACTGCCTGTAGCTGACCTCAGCTGTAGCAAAATGAAAAAACGGACTTGTCCTTTACTCAGGGCCAAAGCAATGGGTTCCACAACTCTTATGCAGTTCCGTTATTGTTGCTGCATTTTTGCAAGAGAGTCTTCTGAAACGTCCTTCCCTCTTGTCAGGTGCTGATCTTCCTGTGACATCCTGAAACATCGACCGAACGCTTCCTCTGCAAGAGCGCAGTGGTCAGCAAACACGAAGCTGTGCATGTCCGATCAAAGATGATGAGAACCGCGCCGAAGCGTGCTGCAGCCCACTGCCTGCACAGCCAGGCGCGTGCAACTGCGTGGAGTTCCAGCTTCAACAGGCGAATCCGGGCTGGGAGCATGTATCACCACAAGAATAGCTGGCACCTGCACCATTGGTCGCGCGACGCGAGGAGGTGTCCTAGATGGCATCCGGCGACTCTGCCGAGAAGGTGTCCGAGGAGGAGTGCGAGGCCTTACGCTGACCGCTTCCCCCAGCGCAAGTGTAACACACGCTGTAACAAACGGATGGTTTCCCTGATCCTGTTGAACCCACTTCGTGGTCCGGTCTGGGCCCCCCTCAGGTAATCTCACCTCCTATGCCGCGGAAAAGCCTTTAAACACCAAAACGCAAGATGTTCATCCCCGCTAAGGTTGTTCTCATCTGGTCAACTCAGTCAAGGGGGAAGCTTGGCAAGTTAACAGTTGTCCACATGTTGAGTTGGCCTCTGCAGAATGAAAGCTTGTAACCAGTTACCTTCTGAGACCTAACAGCGTTCCTGTGCTTGCTTTCGGGTGTGGGGAATTGCTGCTCGTCCTCTATCATGTTGGAAACGCTGGATGGGCAGCATGCTTCAGGCATTGTACAACTTTCGAGCATAAGCAGGGGTCATGCACCGGGCTGGATGGCCGGCTTGTGTATGGTCTTTCCAGCTGCAATTGGACTGCCGAGCTTCTCCCTGCATGGACCCGGGGAGCGCGAGGATGAGGATGAGGAGCGTGATGAGCACGATGAGGACGATGAAGAGGAAGAGGAAGAAGAGGAAGAGGAGGAAGGTGCCGCGCAAACTGGACGACTGGGCAGCTTCTCAGGAGCTGGTGGTCGAGCCGATGGCGTGGCCTGTACACGCTACAGTGTGCCAGAAGTCACGGATTGTGCAAATCCTTCCACTGGAGACCCAGCCTTGAGTCTGGAGGCCAGGTCTGTGACAGATGGTTTCGCAGCTTTCCTGGGCCACCACTCCAGGTAAAACCCTAGCCTGTGAAGCATCTGGTTTTGTATTAACGCAACAGAACAGTTGTGAAGTGCCTCTACTCTTGCCGTTGCAGTGCAATCTAACATCACGCATCCAGGCTCTTTGGAGTTCGTAGCATTTGCGATGAAGCTCGCCGTCTCTTCGGTGGAGTTGCGATCTCCCGCCTCATAAGAATGTCTATTCAGGGTGACCTGGGGTCAAAAGCAGAACAGCACTGCATGGCATCATCGAAGAATGTTATCGATGGTGGACTCGTAACATGCGGGAACTGATCTGGATATGGACCACCTACTCCCTCGAGCGATTCCCGTTCTCTTCCCATGGGGCCCCTTAGTTGGGTATGCAGGGGTCGCCCTAAACACGCTGGCCACATGTATCCATGCCCTCCGAATGTTTGAGTTGACCATACAGCCAGCACACATTTCTAGCTTTTTGGAGCTAGCGCTTGGAGCTCCCTCCAGCCGGAATCTACAGATACCGCACAAACTACCACCTTGAGGGCCCTCGCGCTGCAAACGAGGAAAAGGCAGGTTCGCAGAAATCTGTTCATCAGGCGAGGGGGGAGGAGGAGGAAGAGGAGGGAGCAACCAACCCAAACATCAGACATTCAAAATTCAATGCTTCTCTACCTGCCCGGAAAGGATGCTTTCCTCCCGCCTCCGGGGCCTCTTTGTGGGGGTTCGTGCTTCACACGCGGCACTCCAGCGCGCCTGGAGCTGCCGCCCGAGAGCCTGCATCATCATTGCAAGAATAATGCCACGTTGATGAGAGCACTTCTAAAAACACAATTGCCCGCTTGCTGAGTGACTGTAAAAGAAGTTGAAACCAGGGAGTGCTGCCAAGTCACTTGGGCTCTCAGGTCATGTCGTAGTGCCTGCATGGTCCCATGTGGACCGCCAAGCTGCTCTTTCAGCTGACCCACATCAGCCAGTCTCTTCATGCCTGTGATTCAGGAAGTAAGACAGTTGAATGAACGTGATGGCCGAAATGTGCACTCATGTTAGACATCTACAAGCCCCAGCAGAATATGTTCCTCTGCAGGCCTCTGTAGTGCCGGAACCAGCCAGGCTTCCGCAACGCAGCCACGATGGCGCGGTAGTTCTCGGGGTGGACTGACGGTCCAGTGAACAGCGCCCCGGCATTGCCGTCTGAAAGCACTGGTCGGGCAAGCAGATCAGGCGGTCCATTCAGATATCTTTGCCTGCAGCTGCTCAGGCCAAAGCAATGCGTTTGCGGGGACCTCCTCTTGCAACCCAGAAGCCAAATGGTAGGTTGCGCCAGTTCGACGCACCACTTGCTGTCTGCACGGCTCAGCGACAAGGCTTCATCAGCCCTCAGCGCCTCACAGGGTCGACTGAGCTGTGGAGTCATAGGATCAGGTCACGCTGCATCAAAAGCCGACACTGGACAGTACAAACAAGAAGATTCTGCAAACGAACGCAGCGCTGGAATCGAAAACGCGTGTTGCGCAATCTGAACGGCAGGAGTGCCCAATATCGCTGTGCACCTCGGCAATGAGGGCAGCCGCCCACGAGCAGCACGGCATTTCTGCACTTTCGGTCATCTTCTCATGAAAGAGAGAGAAAGAGTTTCAGTCGAGCTTTTGGGGCGTTCATCTCAAGGTGCCACCAGAACTCCTGCACTTTCTTGCGCCTAGCTGTAATCAAACAGTGCTCTCGAACTTCATTGCTCATGATTCTATCAAAATCTTCCGAAAGGCTGCTTGTCTCCATTCAACTGCCTCTTCTGACATGTTTGTAACTCCACGGCTGTGGTAAAAGGTGACATGATTGACATCTTGCAAACATCACTTGCCGATGGCGCCGCACCTCGGAAATCAGCACGACAACTGCTATCGCAATGAAGGTACCCTAGGTTCTCCGGCGTTGGCTTTCTGACAGCAAGCCGGCACATTTTGTCCCCGAACAGCACCATCACTCCACTGAGTGCGGAATGCCGAGCACTGCACTTCCTACTGAAGGCGTTCCCACACAAGGCACCAGAAGGCTGATGCCAGTCTGAATGCTTGATCCGATGCTGTACATCACTGTACATGGTCAGATTGCGGCGGTGCCCCACACCGTGAAAAGCCACACTCGTCAAGGCGCATCTGCTGCCGCTGGCGATTGATTTTCTGAAGCTCCAGCTCCAAAGATTGCCGCTTGCGCTTGCTCGCTTTGCTGAGCTGCTTGCCGAGTTCATCGCTCCTCAGCTGCTGTCGGAGTCGTCTCAGCACTCCACGGTTCAGCCCTTTCGGGCTGCTGAAGCGGCCGGAAGCTGCAAGATGCTTCATTCCTGAATGCTGAATCTCCGTGATGTTTGCAGGAACATCTGGAAATGCGAAATCAATCCGGCCCGTCCTACACTACACCCAAGCTGCTGTCCTTTGTAGTGCCGGAACCAACCAGGCTGCCGCAACGCAGCCACGATGGCGCGGTAGTTCTCGGGGTGGACTGACGGTCCAGTGAACAGCGCCCCGGCATTGCCGTCTGAAAGCACTGGTCGGGCAAGCAGATCAGGCGGTCCATTCAGATATCTTTGCCTGCAGCTGCTCAGGCCAAAGCAATGCGTTTGCGGGGACCTCCTCTTGCAACCCAGAAGCCAAATGGTAGGTTGCGCCAGTTCGACGCACCACTTGCTGTCTGCACGGCTCAGCGACAAGGCTTCATCAGCCCTCAGCGCCTCGTCAGGTCGAAGGTACATTTCCAAGTGACGGCATGGTTCGGACCTGCTTGAATTCAATGTCCTAGTGCGGACATCCCAACATCCAGCCTCTGCTATCATGGAAGCCACCCAACATGGCAGCGCTACAGGCTCCACAACCGGCATGCTCTGTCGAGCTCAAGTCTCAGCCATGTGATTGTGTAACGGTAACGGCGATAGCTGAGTGGAACCCGCGTAAAAGTCCGCCGTCAAACGCTATGTCGGTGCTCTACACCTTGATGTTGAACTCTGGTGGAAATCCCTCAATGCTGTAATAAGATATGTCAGAGTGCATGCTGTCTGGAACCCGGCGGCGATCAAGTAGCGGGACAGTTACCAGCACAGGTAAGTGCTTCCCGGTTTCGGAGGTGTGCTCGTTGGATTGTTGCTGCCTTCCTGCGTGTTCTTGTTTCAAGGCCACGTCTGACGTCTGGACTTCTAGACTCCTAGACTTCCTCTGAGCATACTCGGAGTACAAGAGTCGGAATTCTGCTGTCTCAGTTCATCACCGAAGCTTGCCGATGTTGCGCACTGATTTGATGTTCATCCCGCAACTGATTACATTGGTCCTGACAACGCTGAATACAGAGCCTGCGGGGTGATAATGTACATTGTGGATGCTCGCCTGCCCCCTGAATGTAAAAGTTATGCAGGGGTGAATGGAATGGGCATGAGAAGCGTGAGAAGCGTGACACACAGGTGCAGCCGCTTGGGCCTGGGCAGCCTCCGCAGCCTCTGGGAGCATGCCAGCCCCATCTGAGGGAGCTGCTGCAGCTTCGAGTGCTGCTTGTGCGGAAGGCACTGGCACCGGCGTTGGCTGCGCAGGCGCACCTGTGATCCCTTGACATGAGGTTTTCGAGCGTGAGCAAAAACCTGCACTCAATTTCTGAGGTCCTGACCCTCAGGTACCTGGATACCGCTCACGGAAGCAAAAGCTTGCGCCAACGCCCATATCTCCACGTTGCTGGGCGCATTCTGCGCCTGGACAGAAATCTCCCTTCACACTTTTTTGCCTGAAATTTGCAAAGTGGGCCTGCGCTGCTTGCTCTGCTTGCTCTGCCTCTCCAGATGCAGGTGGCGCAACCTTGCAAGACTCTGGAGAGGGGGGCATGTCGCAATGCGGCGCAACTGCTTGTGAAAGATTTCCCAGACTGCTCCCAAGTAAAAGCGGCCGTGCTGCCGCTGGTAAAGGTGCTGGAGCCACTGGAGCTGGGATGACCTCCTGCAAGGCAAGAGCAAGGCAGAGGCTGCGGCTGCTGATGCAGTGCATGGGCCCTTCTTTAACCCCCACAAACAGTGCCTCAAAGTTGACCTATTGCTGCTACAAGTGCTGGTCGGCACTGGCCTCTGGTAGGCTGTCAGCAGGTCTCATCTCCTCGTCCTGCACTGGGACCGCTCCATGCAAAAGCTGCCGGCTGTGCTCCAATTTCAGGCTTACATGCATGTGCACTCGCAGGTGCACTTGCAGACCCACCTGAGCTGGTATTGAAGGCAAGGCGACACCACGCGGCGGAACGACTTGAGGCTGTCTAGTCTCTTCACCTGCGCAGGCTGCACTGTGGCAGAGGAGCCGCCCGTGCAAACAACTAGTATCTCTCAACAACTTGCCCTTGCTGCTCATGAAGGCGGAAGTGCTACTACCAGCTCACACACTTTTTGTTCACGCGAGGCCATCAATCAACGTCTCCGCCCACATCCTTAGGCCCCTGCATCAGATTGCCTCGGCTGTGCACAGACAACGGAACTCGGATAGGTGAACCGATGCAAAGCCTTGTTGCCCAATCAGCTTGTCACCTCTGAGACGGCTCAAAGTGAGGCACTGCTGACAAGTGGTGCGGTGATGTCTTGACAAACGGATAATATGCATGAACAAACTGCTCCAGTAAAAGCACCATGGAACAACTTACGTCAGTTCTCGAGGACATCTCGGGCATTAGCTCTAGATCTTCTGTTTCAAGCGCTTTCATAAGAGCTGGGGTATGTACGCCTACAGACCCCAATGAACTTCACCCCTTTGCAGAGAAGAACATGCAGCTTCGGGCTCAGCCTCTCCACCCAGTGGGCTGGGCCGCACGCGGAGGAAAGTCAAAGAGAAGAATCGTCGGAGGTCGCGAGTTGCTGCGCCATGTGTCTCGACAGTTTCGCTCCTACGTAGTAGCTCTTATCCACAACCTGTCCCGGCCGCCTAGTTGGCACATTTCTGCACTTGCAAGATCTTGCAAGAAATCTGTCACCGTCTGTGCGGGACAGAACATCTGCAGATGCAGCGTATGCCCCCCCCCCTAAGGCTCAGCCTGCAAAAGAAACCTCGATGACGTTGGAGACACTTGAAGGCTGAAAGATATTTCGATCAAAGTGCTGCTCAAGGTGCTCATCAACTTCTGCATGGCTACTTGCTGGCGCTTCAAGATTTCGACAAACTTGGGATTGCTGAGAAGCTCCTCCTGACGCAGCGGTGTGATTTGCACCCAGAATTCAGGCACAGCTGATGCATTGCGGGCCTGCTTCATCACGGCTGCTGTCTCAACCTCATCTGCCGCGATCCCGTGAGCCTTCTCCACTTTGGCGTGCACGAGGGCCTGATTGAGCATATGTTTCCAAAAGTTTCCAGGCAAGCTTGAAAATGTCAGCTGGCAATCTACACTTCAAACTTCAGGAACCTCACAAGAAATCCAGTTGCCTTGAGAGCAACTGTTGCCGCTTTGAAATCCTTTGAGGACGCATCTGGCTCTTTTAACAAGCTGGTCACGAGCTTCTCCAGCTCCTCCAGCGCAAACTCCTCAGTCTGGTTGTCACGAAAGGAGTCAACATGAACTCAACATGAACCACGTTGAGGCAAATTCAACCAGTGCTTCTAAATGGAAAAGTGTCCTTAATTTTGACTAGGGGACATGGACACTAATCAACTGTGAAGCGCCTTTCAATCTATCTTTCGACGAAATCACTTGAAGTCAATTCGTACTGCCGCTTATCAAAGAGGAGGCCGTGTGTCCAGGCCGCTGGCACTGTTGATTTGGACCTCTAGAACAATGCTGGCCTTGATCCATAGGGTCCGGAAGACTCAGTAATGGTAAGGAACAGGCACCGAAAGGCATGGCACTAGAAACATGACTGCGAAGAAATCAAAATCAAAGTTGAAAAACCAGAAAAATACATCATACCTCCACCAAACTTAAAAAAGTACATGGATACATGCAAACTACATATTGTTTTTTGTTGATACATCATACTTACACGGAGACTAAACTAAACAATACATAGATACATGCAAACTATAGATTGATTTTTTGATACCTCATACTTACAGGGGTTTTGCGGCTAACTAAGATGGAACGAATGGATCTGCATTGTGGATGAAGGCCCATAATCTAGAGAGAGTCTGCAGCAGGGTGTGAAATGGAGGGAGCTGCATATTCTGAACCGTCTGCACCACCTTCTAGGGGCGAGAAACGAGCCTTTGCCTTTCATGCCAAGATTGCTACAAAGCAGTGCAGCTTACAGCATCCTCCCAGCTGGCCGCCCTTAATGGGCGTTATGGATGGGGAAGTAATCATTGAATCTGTCAGCGCTTCCTTGGCCGCGCAAAATCGGGCTACTGCAGGTCTTACCAAATTTCCAACATGTTCCAGCCCAGGCACCTTCATTTCCAAGATCTTCGAGGCTTCCAGGTCCCTGCCTGGCTTCAGGTCATCTGGGTGCTGTCCCGAAAGCCGTACCATTGACTCCATGACGAAAGGGTCGTTTTGCGATGCTGCCACCTCGCCGGGGAGTTTGCGGCAAAACGGCAAAGAGCATGGTGTCGTCCTCACCACCTGAAGCCCTGAAGCCTTTCCACCGAATGCCACCGCGGCACCATCGCCTCAAACTCCTGGATGCTAAGTCCTTGCTTCTCCAGTGGGTCGACGAGCTCACATGCGTCTACCCGCTGGTAGGCTTCGGCCATAGAAATGTCCTGTGTTGGCTGTTTTGGCGTATGTTGCTTCACCTTCCTTGGAGTGTGGTCTAGAGCTGCCCCTGCCTTGCCAGCCAGCAAATCTTTGACAAGCGCCTGTGCACGGGATGCGCTCTGAATGAAATGATACACCGACAGCAGCTACTCATGGCATCTTCGAGAGAATAGCCTCCACCACTTTCTTTGCCCGCCGCTCCACGTCCAGCAGCTGAGTCAGCACCTCCTTGAGCAACAGCTTCGGGTCCTCCAAGCAGAAGCCGCCATGGCGGGGCTGGCATCAAGGGCCCCGTTCAGGTTCAGATTCAATGCGAATGGATTATAGGGTCACTGCGCATGTGACATGGACGCGGAGCAGATTCCTTGCTGTCTGAAGTGGAGCCGTTCTCTTCCTCCACTTCTTCCCTGTCCAACACGCGCACTCGAGTTGACTGGCAAATGCACGTTCGCAAACACCTCCAGAAATACTCGTCAGCTTGCCTAAGCAGCAGATAGAGCACTGCCAGCATGAACAAGCTGCCGGCAGCAAAGATGGCAGGCTTGAGGTTACTCATGGCCGGCATTGTCCCTGGGTCAGTCACTCATCTCCAACGACCCCTCCAAAGCTTTGTTAGCCACAGCACCGTACCCAACTGGGTTGGAACTGCAGTCGTGCAATGCATCTTCGCCAGGCCTTGCGACCCAGCAGCCGGGCAAATCGGCCAAAAACCCTACCTAACGCCTGTTGCAGGCAGCAACATGTCCTGCTCTCAGGCTTTGCACTATCTCTACTTTGACAACGGAAATCCCTCAACTGCTACGATGCTACAAAGGATGGCGTGTCGATCTGGCTAGGTGTATGCTTGTAGCTGCTTCGCTGCAATGTAAGGAAACCGCACACCGTGGTCGATGCGTGTCAGGCTCCACGCTTCAGCACGCATTGCATACAGGCACAGGCAACAGAAAGAAAGAACCAGGCTGCTGGAGCGTCAGGAAGTGTTGGCCAGCTGTTTTGACACAGGTAAGAAAGGGCCGTCTCGAACAGCTAAACTGCTCTTTGGACCTTCGCCTGCACTTAAAAACGAGACACAGAGGCTTCGTCCGAGTCTCTGGGTTTCGATCCGGGAGTCTCGGCAGCTTCTGTTTTGCTGTGGCCCGGAACTCGAATGAGCCTTTCATTACCTTCAAAGCGTGGTTTTGCACAAGAATGGTTCTGTGCTGTCCAGTGGGAGAAGACTGTCGGCTGCACACGCCAATCGCTGGAAAAAGGCAGCTACGCAGCTAGCAACTCCTTCTCAGATGTGTACCTGTACACTGAGGGTTTCTGCGTCTAGTAGCTATACCGTCTCAAGCAGCCAGAAAGCAGTGGCAGCGGCGCACTCTTCAGATGTGCCCTGGTATCGCTGAGCCTCCTCTACGAAGAAAAGAACGTTCTCCTGAACCAGATCAAACTACTCAATTCTCGCATGACTGGCTTTCGCTGTGATCTGGCCTCAGGTGTTCCCTGAAGGACTCCGTGCCCAAGATTCAGAATATGCCTGGCAGGACCCACCCAGATTGAAGCCAAACCTTTAGGAGGGCCCCTTCATGTCTCAGCACATGACTGCCTGACTACGCGAATGCATGGAAGCCATTCTGTGTTGGAGTCGTGTATGTCATGCCTTCCCGGCCCGCCGACAGCGTCAATCGAGTCTCGAACTGCCTGGCAGGATGACAAGGAAGACAGTCTGCAAGCGAGAGCCAGGCAGAGAGGGAGAGATCGGCATCCAGCTTGCTGCTAGGGGGCCTGTCGCACTTCTGACTCACTGCCATACCGCAAGACATAGGGATCCACCTCACTCCGCAGTCAGCTTATATGACTCCGCAGGCACAGCCTTGCCAGGTTTCGGGCGTTGCCCTGCAGAACGAGCCCTGTGCCATCTACCTCAGACTTGCATAGCTTTGCACAGTCATGAATCAAACGGGCACTCGTTGGTTCATCGAGCTTCCGCAGCTTGCTGCATTTGCTGCTACTTCCACGGATCAGAACTCCTTCTGCATCGAAGCACACAGAGAGCACAAACAACTATACCCGACTATACCGACAGGAAATCACTCTTTGCGGATGGGTGCTATCTTCGCAGCCTCATCCAGTCGCATGTGCCTCAGCAGCAGCAAATCCTCACTACCAAACGGACAGGTCACCGTGCATGGATTTACATTCTGCCAAGGAGCCCATCAACACCGAGCACATCTATCTGGCCCTGCAGTGCCTCAACCTGATGCGCAAGGTTGCTTTTGTCAGAAGACTGCTTCGCTGTATGATGCAAGAGCACCTGGTCCCTCAGATACGAGGAACCGCCATTGGCAAAGTAGATGATCGGCACACCCGGACACTCCTGCTAGACGAAGGCCAATCGGTCTGCAAGCAAGTCCAACACAGACAGATTGCGAATCGCACAGGCCTTTCGCAGTGTCGCCACAACCTGCACAGCAGCCGCTGACAAGTCACAAGTCGAGATGCCGCGCCATCATGCCAGCCCCGCCACACCTGCTGCACGCAAGGTGCAGCAAACCGTCTCCAAAGCTCAGGTGTCAGGCAGTGGGCCCACGACCTGACGGAAAACTGACTGAAGGAATGGCTGGGCAGCTTGACATACCTGGGGAAAAAGGTTTGAGCAGCCCGCTCAAAAATCTGTATGCACTGCGCGCCGCTTTTCACCTGCCAGCGGGAGTGGGTAGTCCAAGTTGGATAAGCACATGTGCACCTGGTAGATGGCATAGTTGCTGATGGTCACCGTCATACGGCGCAGGAACTCATCCACGACCTGCATTCATACATGCCAGGTGTTCTGGTAAGGTTCTTAAGTCCCTCGTGCCTCAGGCTTGCTGAACATCCACTTCTTGAACACGGCAGCCTCTTTGGTACTGCCCGCCTTCGCATTGGAACACTGACTGTCACTGCCCATTTCCAGGGCACTACCCAGAGCAGTCGCGGCCACAGCAGATGTATGCAAAAGCACACCTCAACGGCATAGGCAGCCAGGGTCCATGGGGCCCCAACAAAACCTGGACAAGCTGGGCAGCGTTCAAGCATTACATCATCCCTGGTGCAGAAGGCGCCTAGCAAGCTGCACTTCTCTTCCGTTTCCGACCGCAGCGCCTGAGCGCAACTCTGCGCGCATAAGTATGACTGAAATCCACATTGGGGCGCTTCATGCCTGAACCATCATGTAGGCAGAGCATGAGAGGCTACAACACAGCTCATTGCAGAGTCCAGCCCACCTGGAGAGTTTCGCGTAGAAAGCCATGACTTTCTTTGAAGCCCTCGTGGCCAGTGACTTCCCTGAACCAGGAGTCTGAAATCTGAACATGTCTGTAAACCGACAGGCTGGCTCCTGATCTGGCTGGGGCCATCTTGCAGACGATCCTGCAAATGCTGCACATGTTGAAAAGCAAAAATTGGAGCACCAAGTTTGTGTGACGTCAATCCTCCAGAGTGCGAGCGAGGTCGCCAAGGACGATGGGCCCCCTGCCACGTACGACATCGAAGTTGATTCCCATGGCTGGCAGAGGAGTCAGAATGTCCGAGAAGACCTCAGGCAGGCGGTGTGCCATGCGTTCAAGGTCCATGCTTCGGACATAGCCCAGCGGCAATTACTCCGTCCATGCCATACCTCAGAGCTATGGCTGGGGATCTGAAAGATTGACGCTGCGAGAGATTCACATTCCAAGGCTGCAACTGCCTCCAGCACTGGAGAGACAGCTCAATGGCCATGTCTGGGGTCTCTGAGCGCTGCCTGGACAAATTGTCTTCTTCTGAACCCCATTTGCTCATTCTGCACGAGCTTGCCTGAAGGGATACCTCTCCGAGTAGTTGCGGAAAGCTTTCATGTAGCGCCCTGCTTGCCGCATAAGCCACACAGGCGTGTGATCTCCCGTCTCACCCCTTGCCACGCGCAGTAGAAGGTCGTGAGGGGATGGCGTGTCCCTGCTCCCCAGTTCTGCCAGTCTGGGCACAGTGCAGGCCCTCCGCCTGTCTTGACGACGACCCGTCGCAACACAAAGGCTTGCTGCAGCTCCCAGCACGATGCTAGAGGAGGAACATCGATGGCATTCGGGCTTTGCGCTCTGCCTAGGTCGAGGTGCCTTGATGGCAGCAGGCAGGGATGGGCTTGCAGCCACAAAACCAAGGCTGGTATCCGCCATGGCTTGCGTACCAGCTATGGAAGCCCTTTTGTCAGCTCAAACAGCTTCATGGAAGTACAGCAACAACAGAATATGTTGACAGGCTCGTGTGTGGATTTACACCCTACAAGTAGCAGTGCAAACGGGATAGCTTTGCGCACCTGCCGGCACAGGCACCTGGGCACATTTCATCACCAAAAAGCACTGCATGACAGCTTTCAACATGAAGTCCAAGTTGGACTCTGCCTGTCAATTGACATCCCTTCTCAGCAGTCTCCCTGCAAGTTCAGCTGCCAGTCCCGGACCACTCACGGCCAGTGTCCCCAGCCAGTGGCAGGATTGAAAAAAATTGTGCAGTACTGAAATTTCGAGAGCAAGGAAGGGAACTGCAGGCCCAAGGTCCGTCCGATGCCGGCGGCTCTATCACATTGAGCTTAGACCCTACCATCACTGGGCACCAAGCCTCGGCAGTCGCGGCTGGGGCAGGCTCCGGCACTGCGAAGTTGGCCTGAAGGCCTTGGGAAAAGTGCTTATTCTGTTCGTATTCTCCTACTCAGTCATCTGGCAGCACACCTGTTTGATGCATAGCAGGACTGAATCACACTGTGCATAGGCTAAGAAAAACATGGCAGCGCCAGCTGCACAACGAGTGCGTCTCGAGGAAAGACCCCGGCGTCGCACCACCTCGCTGAAGACTGCCTCAAAGTCCTGATTGAAGGCTTGGGAATGTCCAAGCACCGGAAGCTTTGCAAAAAACTCGGGTGCTTCTCCACTGCCTCGCTGCGTTGACTAGCATTGTTCGTGCTCGGCACCTCAGCAGGCTGTCCAAGTCCCTCACAACCCAAAGTTGTCGCCAACACGAGGGCACGGCGCTCAGGCTGCTGGGCGTGCGGATGATCGGCTCCACATTCCCCAGGAATTGGCGGATGTTCCTGCACTCTGGAGTAGGAAAAAAAAACAATACCCACTGCTGAATGCCTGGTGCCTGCGCTAGACCTGTAATGGCCTTTGACAATCCCTGCAAGCCAAGGCTACTTCATTGTTTTGAATCATCGGGCTGTCCCTGGTGGCATCCACTGCGCAAGCTGCGACTGATGAGACTCCATGTTCGACCTTGGGATCCAACTACTGAGAGTCTCTGTCACAGACCACCTTGCTTGCGCCAGTGTTCTGAATGCCGTTTTTTGTAGTTCATCTGGCTGTCTGAGCTGCTGTGGCGAGTTTAAAATTCATCCTTCAGCCCCCGCTCACAATACAGCCCCACAGTGTCCCACATCCCCCCACAAGCGGAGCCACAAGCAGAGCTACAAGCAGAGCTACAAGCAGAGCTACAAGCAAAGCTGAGGCTCAGCTGGTCTCGCCGCAGGAGAGGATGCTCGTGTGGTGCGTCCATCTCGCCCGGGTCCGCCCAGCCAACATTGCCCGCCTGAATCTCGCAGAATATCGCAGCTCTTGCTGCCGAGTTGCAAAAGGCGAACATCCGTGGGAAAGTGCGCACTTGTCATGTTTTTCAAGTTTCGGTGAACATGCAGCGGCTTGGGCCATGGCAGTGGCAACTCGAAGGCCTCTGATTTCGCGAGATCTTGAGGCTTCTTGGATTCTAGGATCGGAAAATGCATTGGCTTGAGAGAGCAACCAGCTGATACCTTCAATGCACGAGAACTAGCAAACAAAAAGCAAAACACTCGAAGTCAGAATATATCAAAGTAGTATTTCTTCTACTTACATTGCTATGCAAGGTATGCCTGGAGGCGGTGGCATCTGCATGCGCCGGAACCTGGTCAGCCACGGCAATGCAGGGAACGCAAAAAATCCGTGGAAACACTGAGAGCCAGATCTCTACGAACATCAGATTGAACCTCGGTTCAAAGCAAACCCTAAGGCTCAGGTAGCAGCTGTCCACCCCGATGGACGCCATGAATAACCTGGGGGCCCACAATACAACACTGGGTCTGTCGCATGAAGATTCGCAGGGAATCAACTTTGTTTGCCAATCCAGCAAGCCCAAAGCCGAAGCTTAAACGCTAAATGCTGCAAGCTGTCACACTAATGTTACCCCACACCATTCACACATAGCTAAGTGAAATATGTTTAAAAAGAAAGCGCGGCTGGACATCGGCGCGCAAAGCCCGGAGAGCAACAGATGCTGCAAGCCCTAAACTCAAAGCAAACACTTTCATTTGCTACATTGGTCTGGCAATCTCATCTGTAGATATCTCCAGGATGTCACGTCACTGATGCAACAAAGTGTGATTCCCCCACATAATGACTCGTTTTCCCTCTGGAATTAAATCTCCAAACTTGGAAAGCTGCGGGTGCTTCAGCCTTTTCCCAGTATATGACAAAAGATGGCACAAGCAGTCTCGAGCGAAAACAGTGCTTGCAGCAAGCGATAATTCGGGCAACCCACATGAGCGGTACTGTGTTACGAGTGACACCAAGCCTGGCAAGCAAGCAAAGACTGTAGCAAATGTCTCGCAGGAGCGTGCAAACTAAACGAATCCTTGAAGCTGGTGGCGTAAGCGTTTACTTATTCCGACATGTACTGTGGCATGACCACGCAATTCATAGATGCTTGAACATTATGGAGCTTCCTGTCTGGAGCCCAAGCTTCCATAGACTCCATCCGCATCTCTAGGTCTCCCACACCCGCTTCGCCAAGGTCAATGTCAACCTGTCACACGGGCATATTTTGGGCGAGGATGGCGGGTCTTAGACATCTCTGCAGGGCGAGCTTGCATATCAGCTTCATTCATGGATGAGACAGTGCAGCAAGAACTCGTCTATGAGTTGAGAAATTGAGCAGCTAAACGGCAAAATCTGACCCTTAGCTGTTCGAGGGTGTCGGCTCTCGCTAGATCATGGTCGCACCCGAAAGGTCATGTTTTCGCCGTCCAAACGCGGATTCTCTTGATCAAACCTGAGCCGTTGACAGTGATTTTTCGTGCTGTAGTCAGCGAAGGGGGTGCTGAGCATGCAGTCACAGCTTGACGGGAACACGTCTGGGCATCCCGGCACTTGGATAGCATTTTGCAAGACCTCATCTGCTTGCACAGAGCTTCAAGCAGAGAACCCTGTGCAATTTGAGATGATGCAAAACGTTCTTGCCCAAGCGGCGCTGGCAATGCCCTGACCATCTGGACCAAAGTCCCCATCCATGTCGCCATCATACTCCTGCAATACAATTCAAACCTGAGGGCCTGAAAACCTTTGCAGCGAACTTTGCAGCATCTATGGACATTGAGTTTGCCTCCTCGCCCTCGTCGTACTCGCCCTCCTCCTCATCCTCATCCCCGTCCTCCAAGTCGATGTAAGTAATACCATCCCAGACCAAAGCAGCAAAAGGCTTTTGTTTAAGCAGCTCCTCGCCATCATCATGTCCGTGATGCTCCTCCTCTTCCTGCTGGCAATGCAATTGCAACAGAAATGATTTTGGGCTTGTTTTTGAGTCTATTGCGTGGCATTGTGCAATGGAGTCCTCACCGTCTGCATCCATCTGATCCATTTCTCCGCCTGATCCAAGTGAGAATGAAAGGTGCGCTTATGAAGGTAGCAGGTCTTGCTGAATCATAATATGCGTGATGCAAGCATAATGCCAGGATTTGAGTCTGCTTCAGCAGTTGAACTTTTGAGGTGCACCAGGAACCGGAGCAAGATGTATTGAGATATAGGATGCTGAGAAACAACCTTCTTCATCCTCATCCTCGTCCTTCAAGTCAAATTATGTTTTCGCGTCAGCAGGGGCGCAGTACATGTGTCCAAAGACGCATCCTGCATCAATGATTCACGCAAGTCTTGCAGTCCTCATCCAGGGCTTCATCGCCTCCTTCACCCATCTCCTCGTCATCGTCCTCTTCCTACCAACCACGGGCAAGCCGAGCATGCAGTAAGGATATGGATGCAAACGGCAAAGATGCATAGTGGGACCAGCTTCCAGGCATTACCAGAAAATCCCACTGCACATCAAAGCAAGGCCGAAGTTTCACCTAGTTCTCAGCTGCTGACGTCGCCATGATGATGACTACTGGCCCGTATCCGCTTCTCGCCTCCTCGTCATCCTCTACAGCTGCCATCTCCACAGCCTCCTCTTCATCAATAACTTACCGAAAACAGGCTGGAAAAGTAAGACATTACTTGCAACAAGAAGGAAGCTGCGAAGGACAGTCGCTTCTCACACAAGCGGGAGGAGCAAGCATAATCATCGGCAATCGTCTTCAGTACTGCACTACTAGACCTCCTCTCCGGGTCGCAGCTCGTCTCTTTGAAGTGCCTGCGCTGCATGAGCAACTTCATGAGTACTTTGGAAATCCAATTGGGCAAGGATAGCGAGGACTGACAAGATACAAGAAGTCTGGAAAATAGACACAGAACTATAAACTGAAACCTGACTCACAGTAGGAAGCTAGGCCGGTGAAGGGTGGCCTCGTCAACGTGCGCCTCCATACCAATGACACGAAATACCCTGGACAAGCCGGATGCGACAGGTGATGACAAGCACATTGGCCGCGCGTGAGCGGGCTTAACTGCTGAATGCTGGCAACAGTTTTAATGAATGGGCCTCTCCTGTTTTAAGGTGAAACGCAAGATAGCAGTTGAGGGCATAGTTCTCACTGCCCTTTCTTGCTGCATGGGTCAGTTTCCCCGTCATTGCAATAAGGATTGATTGTTCAGGATGACCCACTGCGATGCTGCAAACAGCCCTCGCATCCGTTGCAGCCGCTTTCTAATTCAAATGGAAAGAGCTGTCGTTATCTATTCAACCGAGGCCAATTGTTTGGATGCCATCTGACTTTGGACCCGTACTCACTCATCCTGCAGGTCTGGATTGTGATCAACCACAGCTCCAAAGAGTTTTGGGCAGGTCCGCCTTCTCAAGGCAAGGCCGCCACAAGAGAAGCAAAAGTGGCGCAAGTGTCAGCAGCTAAGCATGCGAACCTCGCATGTTCCAGCTTGACAGGACTTTGGGCTGACACGTGCACAAAACGGTTAAAGCACTGCGAGCTCTCGCAGTTGCAGTTGTAATAGTGGCAAACTATGCTCAGGAGTCGAAGAGTTTGCCTCGAATTCGAATGCTAAAGGGTACTGGAAGGCGGGGTTGGCTGTGAAGCACCGCCCATGCCCACTGGTCAAAGTGGGATCACTGAGCTGGGCAACAAAGCAAAGGCCGAATCTAAACCAAGATTCGCTCGAAGCTATGGAGGCCGTGCACGCCGCCTTCCCTCTGAGCCGCTGCTGAGCGGAGTTCCTGGGAAGCAAGTAAGGACCACGCTCCAAACATGCATGTTGCACAGCTCATAACAGAAATATTTTTGCCTGGCCGGCAGGTGAAATGGATAGCACCAACACAACGGAAAACTGAGCGCGGCTCAAAGCGCAACTTGCCCTCCTCAAAACGCGCACTTTCAAAAAAAACTCTGCGAAGGCAAAAAATGTCCCTTGAAGCCTGCAGCATCGTCTGCAACTGCTCAACACTTTTCGCTCCAATGTCCTCTCAAGGAACTCAACTCAATTCTGAGGCCACTGCTCACTTGAGGAGTGTGTTGAGGGTGACTGAAGCAAATCTAAATCAGATCATGTTCTTGCTGCACATTTTTACGAGCACTAAGAGAAGATAGTCTTCCCTTTCTTCTCTCTCGGACCATCACGAATGGTAGGTTCAGGGGCATCATCGTACGATTTGGCCAAGCGGTGACAGCCGGAATGCCAGATGCGGACCAACCCATCTGGCATGCCAACATGCCTGTATGTTACGTCCTGGTTGCGGCTGGAGCCCCACTATGCCCTGTGCATCCTGTGCCTTGTTCCTGTGTTCTGCTGGACATGCTTGATCCTGCTTGTCCCCAGGGCACCAAGCCCCATGCATTCTGTTTTTTTTGGAGAGCTTGAGGCCAAGCATGCCGAGTTCTGCTTGCATCCGGAGCACCGGTCCGCCCCTAGGCTTCGTCCTGACTGCTGGGGCACCAGCATGCCCCGTGCTTCGTTTGGCTTGCTGTTGGGTACTGAACATGTGTCGCCCTACTTGCAGCTGGAGCGCCAGCATGCCTCTATGTGCTATGCGCCTAGTGGGTTCGCAGCAGTCCTGCTGGCTCGACAACTGGCCCTCTGGGCAGGACGATACCTTGTTCTGTTTTCATGGGTCGGGCTGCCTCCTCAGTGAGGGTGGTGATTCCGTGGATTGCACCCTGTTTGTCTGGGGGCAGTTGCCCTGGTGGAGTTTGTGCGACAAGAATAGGTATCTCCTGATTTGCCGCTGGGTCTGCGCTCCCTGCCGCGCTGGCTTCTCTGCCTTCGGAGCTAGTCCCCTGGGGCACGCATGCTGTCTCCCCCCCCCACGCTCATAGACCTTGGCCCACTTAGCCTTCACTTTTTGTCTGCCGGGCCGATTCTCGACGCTTAACGCCAACATGGCCGTGTGGTTTCCTCTCGTGGCACTGGAGCACTAACATGCCCCCCTATTTGTTCATCCTGCCTGCCGCTGGAGGGCAGCATGCGCCCCAAGTGCTTCGTCCAGCTTGCTGTTCGATTGCAAACATGAACCCTTCAATGCAACGATCACGTTTTCGGTGGCCAGAGCGAAGGTCAGTTTGAACTCTACGTGGAGGGGCGGGAGCCTGATCATCTCCGAACTCACATCCTGATTCACGATGGGGTGCCATATCCTTTCCCTTTCGAAACAGGAAGCGTCTGTTGCATCTGTTGCAGACGATACAGACCTCAGGTGCTTATCACCCCAAGGTCACGTCACTACCGGCTCCAGCCGGGCATAGCCCACATGTCACAATGCACGCTGATGCACAGCCGACCACTTCCGGGGAGCTGAGAGCATGGTGATGAACAGACGACGAGGCGCTTGCATCCCGATGTGACTCTGCACGTTAGCATGTCATCGAGCGCAGTTGTTCAGTAATGCGGCAAGTAATGTGCTATCAAGTGTACAGGTCGGGGTGGTGTCCATAGCTGCTAGACTGATGCCCATTGCTCAAGCGTACTCTTCGTATGCGTGTGAAGTCGTCCGCTTTGCCAGCTAATGACAGCAGGATTGCATCGTCTGATATCACGCATACGCTGTGAGTCACTCCTGAGCTGTAGGGGTTGTCTCACACAGGTCGCGCAAAGGACGCTTTCGAACGTTCTGCAGGTTGTTGGCACTTTGCAGGAAAACCGATACACAAGCTGTAGCATGCGCGCCCATAGGCACCAAGTCCCAACCAGTGCATCTTGAATATGAGGTCATCCACTAGACTAGATGAAATACAGGTGCATTGCAGGGTTTCTGATTTGGGGCCATTGCAAATCAGGGCCACTGCCGAGTTTTCTTTCTCTTGCTTGGTCAGGCTCACGAGTCATCATGGCGAGTCAAAAGCAAGTGCTCGGATGATGGGGCACCAGCAGCCCAGAGTAAATCGAGTGCATATACTGCTTCTATGTCCTAATATGCTTTCAGAATTGCTGTCAGATCGGTTCATACCGGGTCGGAGGGCAAGACATCCATTTGCCCTCTTGAAGCCAAAGCCTCCAAAGGTAGGCCAAGCTCATAAAGGTTGTCTCACGCAGGTCTTGCCAGGCGCAAGGGACGCGTTGGACCGTTCTGCGAACTGAACAGACAGAAGGTCACTCGCGCACTTGGGCATCTTATCATACTCACTTTTAAGAGTATGCTCTCCCATGTAACACGCCACACACTCACCTCAAGTTGCGGCCTGTCCTGCATTCCATGCCTGATGCCTTGAGTAAGATACGGGATATACCTGTGGATGCTGCCTTTGTCTTGGACCGTGCCAGAGACGCCCTGGCATGGCATTGCGCAGGCAGAGACGAAGGACATTCCCGGTCACACACGGGTCCTGCCTGAGCCACCTTGATGCTGGAGTTGCTGCCGAAGTACCGATCATCAGAACCCTGACAAACGCTCCAGGATAATGTAGGGAGAAACCGAACGGGACATGGATGACGTGGTCAAGCCTTCTTCATGGCATCGATAGAGCCCATCCCGCGATAGCGCTTCAGCCTCTTGCCGTCCTCGGAGTAGAAATACTCCCCAGGCGTCTCAGACGTTCCTGCATCGTAATGGCAAAACCCAAAGTATGCTTCCAGCCTTATCCTACAAACGGCGTCCTGCCAAAAGGCTTCCACACATGGCAGCACCAGCGCCCAGGCTCAAAGCCTTCACGATGTGACCCGGGCTGGAGATGCCACCTAAAATGCTTGGGGGTGACAAGAGTCATACCACAACCACAACTGGACATGGTTACGTCAGCAAATGCTGCAGGAATCGAAACCCATGTCATGTGCCAGCCAGCGTGCCGTCTGCAAGGATAGGGACGTTGTACATTCGCGCAAGCTTTGCCACGTTGTACACAGCAGAAGCCTTAGGACTTAGGATCTTGCCCTCAAAGGTGGGCAAACCCAAACAGATTCTACATCTCCCGCCTGTGCGCGGCCGCAGGCACAAACCTCTTGTGTGGTGCATATAGAGCCGATGCCCATCCCTTGGCTGTCTCGCGACTGGTGGGAAGGCAGCAGAAGGTTTTTCAGAGTCCACGTGACAGGTGCAGGCCGCGGCACCCACTCGGAGAGCATCGGCCCCACACTCAATGAGGTTCTTTGCCTGCTGCTTCGTGACGACGTTGCCAGCAACAACCTCTTCTTTGTACATAAAAAAAACTTCTCAGTGAGAACTTTCTATGCCATCAGGGTACCTGAATCTCTTCGAAGTTTGACTTAATCCATTTGACCATCTCCTGCTGGAAGACACTGTCGCCCTGGCTGCTGTCAATGACAATGGCATCCACGCCTCAGAAATGCCCCCGCATCACCCCTACGACGTTGCGATACTCCCAGATGCCAAGGCCTAGCCAAGCCAAGCAACCAGCAGCTGCAAGGGCCCGAACACGGTCCTTGTCGTTAGGCCGTGTGCCAATAGCCGCCGCAACCAGGAGGCTCTTGTTGAGATCAGCCTGCAAGCTGCACAAGCTGCAGACTCGCTGCAGACTCGCAGACTCAGCTTCACCGGAAAACGAAAGCATTTGAAATTTGGTGCCTTCGTAGCATTTGGGAACTCCACGTTCTTTTTGATGTCTGTGCGAGAGACCATGGCCACCAAAAGGCCAGATCTGGTAATAATGGGCAGCTTTCCCTTCTTGGACTTCTGCAAGACTTCGTTGGCCATCAACAGGTCGCAGCCTTCATTAATGGTCACCAGGTCCTTTGCAGGAGTCATGATGGCGCTGAGCCGTGTTTTCCGGTCCTGGCAAGTTTCGAGCTCTCTGTGCATGCATGCTCAAGCCCAGCGTTGACATCATGTCTGCAGGACTGCCTTTACTTTGGGTATCTTTGGGTCGGGTCTTTGCTTTGAATGTCTTTTAGCGATGTTGAAACATTTTGCTCCGAGCTGTGCTTCTCTGTAACTGCGCAGCTTTGCTTTCTAGGAGGGGCTGTGATCGTGAAAAGCGCTCTTCTCACCTATGCTTCGTTGGTACTTGCATCATGTCAGATTCGCATGCCCTGCGGAGGGTCCGTGACGAAGTCCGTGTCACGCTTCGTCACCAGGCCCAGGAGCTTGGCACCCATGAGTCCATTCTCCGTGACTGGGAAGCCAGTGAAGCCTTGATTGAGCAAAAACACAATCTTCAAAAGCTGGAACGTCCTGCCATACAGCCAATGTGCCAAGCTGTGTCTTCAAGACATCCAACTCTTCCAGGGTCATGGTGGGCATCACGCACACCTAAGCTTACAGCACCATACAATCTAGGATCTGACCGTGTCCAGTATGTCCCATAACGCTGAGGCACCGGGTCCAGGATGAAGCCAGCCTTGAATTTCTTCACCCGCGCAACCTCCCGCGCCTGGTCCTCAATGGAAAGGTTCGTGTGGATGACACCAATGCCACCTGAGGGCTCCCAGACCAATTTCCATGCAGCCCTCACTTCAACTCAGCGAGAGCCTTCCAGAGCCATCGCGATCGCCATGTTGGACTCGGTGACCGTGTCCATAGGGCTGGACACGATGGGCGTGCGCAACGCAATTTTCTTGGTAAATCGGGATCCCAGGCAAACGTCCTGAAGCAGTCTGCTGTGCACGCCAGCTGCTACAGTACATGCAAGTTTGTGCCGGTGCGGGCAACGAGATGCTTCAGCGACTGAGGATGGATCGTGCACACCAAAATTTATGTGCCCTGGCAAGCAGATCAGGTCATCATATGTATAGCCACTCATTGAGGTCTTCGAGCCAAAGACTTCAGCCGCTGAGAAACCATCCTCGATTGCCGAGCAAAACACATCAGATCACTGCTTGTCGATCTCAAGAGGCCAAACGGAATGCGGCCAGGACTCTTGCAGGTCTTCTTCAGTGAGCGTGGGCTTTGGAAGATCTGTCTTCCTGGGCAGTTCTTGTCGTTTGCAATCGTTTACAAGAAGGAGGGCTCTTCAGGGGGAAGTGTGAGAAGCATCAGCCAAGCGACAGCTCCTTCCTGGGTGAGCGGCTCCGCTCCTCGCAACAGGGCACGGGCCCTGACTTGATGGCACTGTGACGTGACTTTGATCTTGGCCAGCCAGCAGTGCTTGCGCAGAAAAGATAGCTCCATCTCTGGGCATTTATACCACATCCCCCGTTCTAGAGGCTAGGCAAACATCTTTTGGAAACCGCCCAAGTGTCGACATATACTAGTGCAAAGCAAAGCGTCCTTGCCAGGGCTAGCACCATTGGCTGGGCCCACCATCTCTTGGCACCCCAGAATCCTAGAATCTACCGGGGAATGTGGCTTGAGCTTTCTGGAAAGGATCGCAGCATGCTGTTGACAACAATCTGTGCAAGAACTCGGCCAACTCGACCTGCCCTCATGTAATTACCCGGCGTGCAATTTACAGAAGACATGTCTTCCGTGACAATTTGCACTTACAAAACCTTGTGTTGCTTAAGACATGGGCAGCTGCCTTGCCGCTCCCTCGGAGTCCAGCGACTCACTGCGCAGCATCTCCGGACCCTGAGCCAATGCTGCATTCAAGGTTTCTCGCGAAACGTGTGCGAAGATTCCAGGTTTGTCGGGATTAACTATGCTGCTGATTTGTTCGGTACCTAACCTGGTTGAAGGCTTTCGCGATGAGAGCTGCGGAGTGGCTAGACTGTTGCTTGAAAGTTATGGATCGTTGCGGCGCTGTATTTCATCTTTGCCCAATGAGATGCACCCGTAGGATCTTCACCAACTTCATGGTATCAACACTCACAATCAGCACTTCATTCCAAGCCTGTTGTCTTGGTGCGATCAGAACCGCAACAACTTTGCCGCAGTCACAACTTCCGGCTGTCAAACCATTGACATGCTCACTCCACGTTGCAAATGGTCTCGTGCGAATCGCGCGCAAACATGCGCAAAATGATCTAGTTACTGTCATACAGACTTATGCGCAGCCAGTTTCAGAGCGGCTCATCACGCAAAACATCTGCAGAAATTAATACCCAATCGCCGACACCAGTCAGTGCTGGGCCTACTAGCGGTCGTAACGCAAAAGCAGAATGTCTGTGAATTTGAAGCCATCCCCTGGTTCGGAAACCTGACCCACTTGTTTTTTCTTCAGGAAGTTCCACAAATACAAATCCTCGGACTGGCTGAGCCTAGCTTTTCCCAGTGTGCGGGATGTTCGCTGGGGCTGCAGCACCGGGAGATGCGTCAGTTCGCCGTTGGTCTGCTCCTGACGTGATCTCATGCTTGCCCGGCTGGCTTTGTCGGGTCAAGGGACCCCTCTCCTGTTGTTTCCCTTCGAGACAAAAGCTCCAGGCACCTGCGAGAGCCAAGACAAACTGAAACACAGCCAGGCTTTGCCTGGCTCAGTCTCACTCTTGCCTGACCACTGCACTAGCCACGTGTGAAGATTCGCTGCGCTGGAGGTCGAGGCCTGGACTCATGAAGGATGCAGAAAGCTCTCCCTTCAAAGGCATCCTTGAAGCCCAGCCACGTGCAAGGACTGCCACAAAGGCATCTCGAAGGACCTCACATTTGCAAGGTCACTCCGATTCCGGGAGCTTTCAAGACCTGAAGCCCTTGTCTGGCCTGCAGCTCCTCTTTCGCGCTGAAGGGAAGCTCTTTGCGCGTCCGAGCCTGGTCAGCGGCTCAAGACAACGTGACCAGGAAGAAGCCAAGCCTTTTGGCACTTGCCGCAACATGTTGCGACGGCGTACCAAAATCTACGTGGGCCTTCTTTGCAGGCGGTGCGGCAGCATTGCTTCCTGACCAGGTCTTCTGACATGGGTGGAATCCTCGGCCTGTGTTTAAGTGAAGCTGGTGTGCATGCAGGAGACTGCTCAGGAAGCGTGAATTTGTATCTCCTGTGTGCATTAGACTCTCAACCACTAATTGCTAATTGAAATTACTGAAGCCTTGACCAGCCTTAAACCCTCGCTTCCGGACCCCCATGCCTCCCGCTGTGTCCAGAGCTGCAAGACGCGGAGAGGCTTTCTCCTCAGCATCAGAAGCTGCACAGCCCATCCCTCTACCAGCTATGGAAAGTCCTGGCTCGCCGGGTTGGCAGAATCTTTCTCCTCCTGCAAAAAACACCGCAGGTAGACCCCTCAAGTATGCACGTCTCAGACTTTCTCGTGTCCTTGCGTTCAGTAGCAGTGGCGGCACTTAGCAGCCGTGCAATGATTGTTGAGAGAGTCGAAACCTGGCCACATTACTACAGGACAAGGGGTCACTCTTGTGGGCTGGAAATGCGTCGTTGCTGGGGGAAGGTTTGCCTGCTTCAGTCAGTTAATCTTCATCCAGTTCTCTTCAGTAAGTCACGACGGCAAAAGAACTCCAGGTCCACTAAACTGACGCCACCTGGGACCCGTAGATGCCCTGGTCTTCCACGCGAGGGCCTGGCGTGCAGACTGGCTTCAAGGCTTAGGCGCCAATGCGCACCTATTGAACTCGTTTACGTTTACGTGCTGCCTACGTGAAGGCACTGACCCATATCTGGCTGCAGCAAAGGTACTCTCGGCCAACGCACGCAGCATGACAATTGCCTCAAGGAGCTTGCCAACTGGTTGGAGTTGGGAGAGCAGCTTCTGCATGTGAGTCGAGGTCATTTTTCTAGCAGTCGCTAGCATCGTCGCGGTCTTTGTTCTGTACAAGGTAGCGGCACCTGGAGCAGAACGTCTGAGCTTTGCCTGCCTGAATCTCTTCCGGGGCAAATCTGTGCAGCAACCGGTTTGCGTCCCTAAGGGTCATAAGCTTCTTGAAGGAAAGGTGATATGGCTTCTGCTGCAGGCACTAATCTCTGCTTATGCTTGCTTCATTCACAGCGTAGGCGTGGCCGCAGACGACCAGACCCTCAGTTAATGCAAATCTCGATCGCACACAGAACTTGGAGAGTTGCTCGACCAAGCTCCACATGCAGTCTTGGAGACAAGCACTCGGGCTGGCCGCTATGCTTAAAGCGCCAAGCCACCAGGAGAATCTGAATGAAGATATGCCTTGTCATGACAGCATAACAAGCTCACAAACTTTGAGAGGCCATAGGCAATTCCGTCATTCCAGATCGAAAGCCAAAACATGACGCCAAATTGCAGCAAGTCAGACAAGATGCATCTGCCACAGCGATCGGACAAAGAACACCCACAGCAGGAGGTGGGTAAGCTGTAGCCTGGGCCAGGATAGTTAAATGCACTTAAATGCACTGCCAGCACATTGACATGGTTCTCGCAAAATCCAACGAAGGCAGAATTCTGCAAGAAAATACTCAAAGCTTCCCATACGCATGCAACCTGAGAACACCATCACGTGGGCGGAGGTGCTCAGCTGCTGCACTTGCTGTGGGGGCAGGAGCGCAAAGAAAGTCTGCGCTGCAACCAACCTCAGGCTTCACAGGCTCCACTATGCTCACTCAATGTTGTGGTGTTTCGGTGCGAGGGTGAGGCAGACCCCGGGCCAAAGGACAAGCCATGAAAGACAAGCCAGGCAGCCACGTCAACATCCCAAACCTGGACAACGAGTGCAGCAGGACCAATGCGAAGATGGCCGTGACGTAGTGGGAGAGCAGCCTGGGCACGTTGTGCCTGAGCTCGAGGACAATTGTACATGTCCGAATGTAACACTGGAGGGCATGGGCATGCAAAGCTCAAACTTGTATTTGTGCGTTGTGCAGGGGTGCTGGAGTCGCAGCAGCCAGGGCGATTCTCCTCGCTTGGATGTTCGCTTAGGGCCTCCAGGCGAAGCCCAACTTTAGAACAGCTTGCTTTGAGAATGTCAATGCGGCCTCCGTCCATTTCCAGCGACAGAAATTGAGCCCAGGTCAACGTCTGGGGCAGGCCTGACCGGTATCAGCACGAGCCCTTAGTTTGCCTGCTCTGGGAAGATTCGACTCGATCCATACAATCTCTTTCCATGTCCCTTCCGCGTCAAAATGGCTTGCTGTGCAAGTTGGCTCTCCGCTCTCCGAATTGAAGTGCCTCCTGATCTCATCCGATCTTGTGGCTGAATGACAGCAGACGCCATCCAGCTTAAAAAGTAACGCAAGAAGACAGCGGGTGGTCACAAGGGAAAATCAAAGCCAAGGGCACGGGTTGACCCGTTCACACACGGCTTTGAAGCAGAATTGTGCCACAAGTCGCATGACTGCTCCGGCATGAGCATCGAAGCAAGCATGCTTTCGCATGTCAGTGCCAAGTCTGAGAATGATAAAAGGTAATGGGAATCGACTCCTGGTGTTTAATGTTGAACTCAGCCAACTGTCGAGTGCAGGAAGCTCGCTGTATAGCTTGAAGTTCATCTACTTCAGTACGCAGATACTTGCAGTCACACAAGACGCTTCCGCGCACGCCCCACAGCCCTGGCTCTAGGTGAAACATATAGTCATAGATTTGTAAAGCACAGCATCAGAAGAGCTGCTCGTAGATGTTGAAAATTCCAGTTGTGTATCTCAGAGATTCTCATAGATACTGAATTGATCTGAAGTCGTGGATTTGGATCACCTGATCAGCTCTGCGGGCTCTGCGCTTGGCCCCTGTCTTGGTCATTTTGCTGCATCAAGTCCAGTGCCTCACGAAAGTTCACTACATGAACTCGACTCTGCAGCAGCTCTAGAACCTCGCGATGCGATCCAGACCTGTCTGCCTCGAGGGCGATTTCTTCTGCCGTACGTCCTCGGGATGTTGGCTGGCGAGGGTCCGCCTTGGCCTGCAGTAGCAAATGAACGATTTCATGGTCGCCGAGGTGTGCGGCAACGTGAATCGGATATACGCGCGGCCCCGGGAAGAGAAAGCAGCCGCCTTGTGTAATCCGCGGAGAGCAGACATCGTCAGAGAAATCGTGGGAGTCAAGAAAATCCTGCAATTGCCTTCTGCGCTGCTCCCTGCCGCGCACACGTTTGCCTCCCTCGCACTTCTGCACAGCATCCGGCAACTTTATCTGCGAAAGTCCATACCCCAGCCCATGACCTGGTTTGCAATCGGTTTGCAACTTTGGCTTTTCGATCTTCTCTGGTTCAACGTGGTGCGGCAAGTCAAACTGAAGCATCAGGGTACGAACGCATGGGTGTCAAGAGGCTCTTTTGGGCCACTTGCAGCTGCACCAGGGAGCCACGCTGTTCAAACTAAAGTTCATTTTGCACCTTGCCATGCATGCCATGCAAAGCACAATGCACTCTAAAGGTATTCTCAAGGTAAAGTGGCAAACTGCCACTGCCACTGCCGAGGCCTAGCGGGGCCATTGGCGGTAACCGCTCCACAAGGTTGCTCAGGCGCGGCTCTGCCTTGCGGGCCAGGTCGAGCCCAAATTCCAGTACAAACAATGGAAGCTTCTGGAAGCATGCTGTAGCAGACACTCTAATTGCTGAGCCTGGTTGCGGAATTGCTCCATGTTTGGCCCAGATTTAGTGCCATTTTCCCAAGTGGAGCTCCTTATACTCAATATGTTGGGCTGTGCCGCTGCGCTTTGTTTCGAGATAAGATGGCTTACCATCATCTGTACCAGATGAAGAGGTTGGACGCACTTACTGGAATACCTGAAGGCGTGCGAAGTCATGCAGAGACAGGCCGGTCCGACGGATCAGGTGATGCATTGGCAGCATCTTCACCAAGACTTGCTGAAGGGCCTTTCCTATCCCCGCATGCGCGCTGTGTTCCATGTTTGACTTATCTCTCAGTCTGCGACGCCTATTCATTGTTCTGTATGTCGCATGCTTCCTGCCCCGCAAGGCCTCGCAGCGCCATGCATCCCGGCGCAGCAGCTCAGAGATCAGGGTCCCTGTGAAGAGCACCTGGAGTGCAGCAATGCATTTGCCAGACTGCGCCGACCCTGCGGCGACTCAGCAAGACATATGAAAAGCTTTGCTGTTAACTTCCGTCATACCTTTCATGGGAATGTTATCTTGGCGTCCTTCGACCAGCAGTGGCTTCGTAGCTATTTGGAGGACTCGTTGCTGCCTCCACTGACGACCAGACCCTGCTTGGGGGCGCTTTGTTTGGCGGAGCAGGCTCCGTGTCTTCCTCGGCCTGCAGGTAACCGAATTGGCGCCCGAACAATTCGGCAGCCCAATCCTGCCTCCCGTGACCTCTTGGACTTTGCCTTGCTGCGCTTCTTTGCGGAAGCAACTGGTGCTTCCCGCTCTCGCGTGGCCTTTCAGGGAGACTCACAGCTAAGGTTGGGCCGAGTGGGCCGAAGCGTTTTGACGCGTTATCTACCACTTGCCGACTGCTTGCAGCGGGCCAATCTCGCTGCCTGTTGCTCAGACGCGTCGACCTGGCGTGAAAAGCAAGGTCCATGCTTGGATGGACAGGTTTGGGCTACCTTGAAATGTCACAGGGATTTGTTTTGTACACTCGTCGGTGCACCAGTTACAGGAGCATCGGAAGTGGCATGAGCACGAGTCTATGTTGCAGATGTCATGTTCCCTGAGGGGACCTGCGCATCCTCTTCAACATCCTCGGGCAGCGCAGCCGCGGTTGAACCCCACCGGCGGCCTCCACATGTGCGCGGATCCAGGAATGGCATGGCAGTGTCAAGTCCAAGGGCCACACCTCCGTTTGCAAGCGAAGACAGGGGAGCTTTGCTTTGAGCAGTTGGAACCCGGCTGGACTTGGAAGTCTTGGATGCTTTAAACCCATCCTCGTCCACGTCCTGGGTAGCTTCCGGGACGGGTGGAGGTGGGGGCCTCTCCGGAAGACTTTCATTCCAGAAGCCATCGTCATTTGTGTGGCTTGCACCAGTATCTTCTGGCGCGTCGACCTCTTGCCGCACTCGCGCTACAGCTTCTGCCCTTAGACGTTGTGCAAAGCTCATTGTCTGCGAAGCCCAGGAGCTGCTCTTAGCCGATGCCTTCTTCTTGGCTGATGCATCCAACGCCACAGCCGCTGCACCCCGGTTCACAGAAGCACGAGGTGCAGTCGCCGGAGTCGGCTTCCGTGCAGTGGATGACCAGCCAGCCCTTGGCTCATCGGAGGCCTCAAAAGCTTTGCCCGCGCGCCGGGCACAGAGCGCTTCATGCAATTTGTCACCTCCAGTTTCCCTGATCTTGTTGCATTCTTCGTAGCGCCTTTTGAAGGCCTGCAAATCTGCGTTCGAGCGGAAGCTGTGCCTTCCCGCCTGCCACTTGTCATAGATGGGCCCAATCTCCTTCCAGTCTTTATCAGCCTGCTTCAGAGAGGTATCCAGATCCTGGACCGCCTTCGATTCGGCAGCCACGGGAGCGGCTTGGACCTTGGACAGGAGCAGCTGCAAGCGCTCGATACCAGCTTTGGCTCTCTCATCCTTGACAGCCTGACATAGACACGCAATGCTCACTTAACCCAAAGAACCCTTCGCTGGACTCCATCAGCACTGAAGCAGAGCCCATGCCTGACCCTTGAGCTTCGAGATTTGCTCCTTCCAGGCAGCTTCAAACGAAGGTTTCTCCCTGACCCAATATCAAGCTTGTCTGTATGCTCTGGCACAGACCAGCCCAGGTTTAGGGTTTAGGGTTTGATAGGCGCCCAGAGGGGAAACACTGCAGTTGGTCGACTTTTGGGGGCGGTTGATATGACATCATGGATCAGGTACGGTGAGTGAATCCTTTCAGCTTGAAGATCGGAACAGACTTTGGGGAACGTGAGGACATTGATCATGTAATGCGAACCATGCTTGAAGTCGGGAATCAGTGAAGAGTGCCGTATTTGGAATGCAGCCCCTGGTCGCAGGCCATGGAAGCATGCTGACACATTTGAAGATTTATCAGATTTAATGCTTGGCCATGTTTGCCACGCGACTACTAACAGCGCAGGAACAACATGGAATCTTTCAAACACTCATGAAATGCATACAATCACTTTGGAAGTGATGCTCTCTTCTGAACATCGCGGAGAAGCGCAAAAAGTGATCGCGGTTGAAGATTGATCAGAATCCATGCACGGCTACGTCTGCGGTGCAGGAAATCTTAAAGATTTGGTTCTTTGCAGGGTCGGGATCTAGCCGAGGGTGGAAGCTCCCCCAGTTGCAATCCGAAAACGCATGTATAAAGATACAGTGGTTCTGTGATCGTGGCGAGGTCTTGGGCATACAGAAGTCATGTAACGTCAGGCAGGCTCGGCCCAGCCCACACTTGCCTATGGAGCACGCAAGGTCATGTTTGAAGTGATGCCACTGTTTCCAGCATGTTCCTTTCCGGTCCTTATAATTTGACTCTTGATACACACCCGCAAAGCACTCCTGTAAGAAGCCTTCTGCGAGCGGCTTCTCTCGCTTTGACAGCGGCTCCTCTGCTCTTTACCGTCTACCGGACAGACGGCAAAAAAGAAGCCTCACTTCGGTCCTCCAGGCGGGCGCCCATTTCGTGCCTCACCCGGCTCTGGGCTGAAATGAGTGCCGGTCGCTGCTCAATCAGGACTGCCTCCTCGCTGCAGGGCTTCACGCTCTCGACTCTAGAATCTAGCAACGGCCCTGCCAGAACTTCCACACCGCCCTTCTACCAAAGCACGGGATGCATTGAGATTTCTTCGCGTCCTGAGCTTTCGGCGCCTTGGAGACTGAGGCCTGATCGGCCCGGTCCAGAAGGCCCGCAATCTCTGACAAACAGTGCGACAGCCCGAAGAAGGAATACTGCTCCTCAGCTCAAAACAACATTAGCGATCTGCAGAGCAAACGATGAGCAGGAATGCATGCGCAGAACATTGAGCTCTATGAACAACCTAGCGTCGACATCTTCCAGCTTGCTCAGGATGCGCTCAATCATGGCCAGATAGCCAAAAGATACAGGCGGCAAGTTGGCAGCTGTTGAAACGTAAGTCTCTAAAGCTTGTTAGCTTGGCCGATTCCTGGATGCTGGCGAAGAGTTGCAAATATCTTTACTCGCTGCACGGGTCTTACTGAAGGCAGATACAGTACTGGCTGGCTTGCAACTGATGAATTTGTGTGGATTTGCATTTCTTGGCCGCGCTTCTGTGGCATGCTCAACTTGTCAGAGCATACCACGTGCATCTAGCTGGCTGGGGGCGTCTCCATTACGTGGGTTGCTGGCAGGACTGAAGACTATCCGGCAAACTGACCATAAGTACGATACATTACCCATGGCTTATGAGCCAAAAGCTGCAGGCTCTAAAATGTGCACTCAAGAAAGCCACACCAGCAAGAATCCTTCCCAGAGGCTTGCCACTCTGAGCTTCGCACCTCCGAAACAAGAGTCTTCCGTGGTTCGCCGGGCTGGCGCGCTGCTGTGCACAGCACTGCCTCAGGAGGAAGCATCTGTGACTTCGTTGTAATTCCGAAGCCCATACAGCTTGGTAAAAATGCTCTCGCTATTCAGCCAACTGGCCCCCAAATGCGGAAGCAGCCTGCCAAGTCTCGCTACCGAAAAAGCTGCTGTAATGTTGCGCTTGTCTGCGCTGGTGCCACGGCCTCTGCACAGGGTTGATGGCTCCTGACCTAGGCCCAGCTGAAGCGCAAAGTCAACGAAATGCTGCGCATCTCTGCAGACCACTTGGGTCTCAGCATCGCTGATCGCTGCGCGCTTTTCAGCATGCTGATCTGCTTTGGCCATAGCCTTCTTGGAGAAAAATGATTTGCGTCTGTGATCCCGACTTAACCCAACCTCTAGTCACAAACGCATGCAACCAACAAGGCCCGCGCTCGCTAAGCCGCGCCAGCTCTGGCAGCAGGTGCCGCATCATCAGGAGAAGCAGGCTCCTGCATAATTGACATTGAAAAGTTTCCGCACGTTCAAGATGGGCAATCATTCATGCTTGCTCACTAGTTTGTGAGGCAACGTACCCAACATGCTTGACTCTCACACAGCAGCGGCGCACTTGTGGGACGGTGCAGGTGTAGAGTCTGCCACAAAATAAGTTCCATCAACCTTGCAGGGACCATGCGTGCCACGAAGCTAACACCCCCGCGCTTAGAGTTATCGCTGCACAGCGCGCCTCTGGCGACGGTCCCGAGACTGGCAGCGGGCTCCTTTCACTGACAAGTCGCTGACTGCACAAGCCACGGGGAAAGAATCTGCCCAGGCACTTCAGAAACAGCGTCGAGATACCAGGCACGCGAAG